TTGGGGTAACCCCAGGGCCACTGCATGACTTGGCCTCTCACTCGTGAAGGAATACAAGCAGCACCCACTGGGTTCTGTTGGCCTCCAGGCTGGATCTCAGGCCATGCATCCTCTCTGATGTTGTACAGTGTGCTCACCTGGGGACTGTGGCTCCTAGGAGGATTCAGCTTTGAGTCTCTTTGGACCATGTAGCTTCAGTAAAGGGCCTTTGAGCATAGGTCCAGCTAGAGTCACTGCTTGGCATGGGGTGTGCTATCCTGGGGCAAGGGAAGCAAAGGCTCCTGACAAGCCAGCCTCAACCCAGTCCCCTCTGCTGCCCCTAGAATTGTGTCCCCATGGTGTCCATATGGAATTCTCCTAGAGGGTTCAGGCTATGTTGAGGGAGTAACTCCATCCTTAAAACAGAGTGACTCTCAACCAGGGCCAAATTTTCAGCCCCAGAATTCCCAAGGAAACCTGAAGGTAAGGACAAGGGTGGCTAGGCACTCTTGGAGTCCATACCAGGTCTTGTCTGTGGGGCTGCTCTAGAGTAGCCATCAAGTGGTCCAGCTGCACCTGTTGCTGCAAGAGCTGAGTCTGGTCAGCTGAAGGAAGCTATCTGTGTCAACACAACCCACCCACAGACCAGGGGAAAAGAAGCCAAGACAAAGGACTCCAGCAAGGGAAGAACGGGTCTTACAAACCCAGCTTCAGGAACGAGGAAATGTGGGCCTCCAGGCAAGTGTAAGAACCTGTCTCCAAGAAGTGCTCTGTGTGAGATGATGGAGACATATGTGACACACCCCCAAAGACACAGAAGACATCAAGCCCAACTGGAGCATCAGATCCATCTAAATACAGCTCTGCCTTACAGATACACAGCGAGGGCAGAGAGAGGCCACAGGACTCATAGGAGGAAACCCAAAGGTCATGACCCAAAATTCAAGGTCATAAGTTCATAGACGACTTCAAGGTCACAATAGAAACCATCAAGGTCACAACTCAGGAAGAAATACAAGACCACACAGCACAGGGGGGAAAGGTCACAGAAGTGCCAAGGTCATGGGCCTCAGACAGAACGTTCAAGGTCACAGAGCTGGAAGAAATCTCAAGTCACAAGAGGTATCCTCAAGGTCCGAAGAAGAACACTGAAGGTTGGGTGTCAGGAGGAAGGTTCAAGGTCAAAAAGAATACTCAAGGTCACAGGTTCATAAGAGGAAGATTCAGTCACAGAGAGAAATATCAAGGTCATAGGCACATAGGAAATAATCCCAGGGTCATGACAAAAAGTTCAAGGTTACAGGACAGACCACTCAAGGTCACAGTTCTGGAGCAACCCTCAAGGTCACTGGGGAAACATCAAGTTAACAGAGGAAAGCTAAGCCACTGGGTTCACAGGAAGAAAGCTAAGGTCACAAGAGGACATCCCAAAGTCACAGGAAGAACCATCAAAGTCAATTATCAAGGTCACAGTAACTATCATGACAACCAGATGAAACAAATTAACAGCCAGAAAACTGAAAGCTGAGGGACTACTAGAAGAGCTCTGATGCTCAGGCCACATGCAGGTGGGTTGGGGACAGCAGAAAAGCTCCAATAGGACCAACATGCAGCAAAGTCTATAGAGCACCCAGCAGGCCATTCACCCACCAAGGCAGCACAGCTCACTTTTGGGGATGATTGGGGGGGCCATCCAGGGACACTGTCTATGGGACCATTAATAGGCCCACAGGCCAGTCCTCGGGGTTCCCGGAGGCTGCCCAGCCTGGGGAATTTCCCATGAGCACCAGTCCCTGGCTTCCCTAATTTAAGGGACATGAAACACTGAACCAAGTGGCTTCGCACAGAGCAGCCTGGAGTGTAAGAGGCCTGGTATGTGGCACAGCCCTCTAGCCTCTGAGCCATGTTGTCACCTGGATACTGTCTAACTAAAGCACAGTAAGGGTGAACGGATAAACTCCTTCTAGACACTTTTCATGAGAATGCACAACAGCCCATGGGCAACAGGGACCTCTGATGACCACTGAGCCACAAGGCCACAGGCTGCCCATGTTGACCCATCCACTGAAACCCACTTGGGCACACGGCTAGCTGACACTCACTGGCATCTCGCTCTGTAGAGGGTGTTGTCCTCAAGCTTGCAGGCAGCACAGTCCCCTCTGGTCTGTTCCCATTTCAATCAGGAGCCAGGGCAGATAGCCTGTCACTCTGTCACTTCTCCAGCCCAGTTTCTTAGATCCCCAAGTTTTCACACCCCCAAATCAACCAGGTGAGAGTGGGGGGATGGAGCGACTCCAGGAAGCAACTAGAAAAACAGGACCACAGAATGCCTCTGATGTGCATGAAGTTTGTTGATTTTTTTTTCTCCTTTTAGTTCAAAATAAAAAATATATATATAGCAGGCTCTCAGGTATATAAACTGATAATATTAAAAAATACAAAGTTCACCTTTACAAAAACAAAACAAAACAAGGAAACCACGCACACACAATTCCATTTAACAGTGAAGCCCAACAGCTTACCCCAAAATAATTTCCGCACTGCCATGGAGGCCATTTAGCAATAGGGGTAGCCACTCAGGATTAGGGGGTGGGGGAACAATCCATAATTGAGTGACTCCCACATAGTCCTCTCATATGACTTAAGCTAGAAGTTAACTCTAAAGGGACTGAGGAACACAGGAAGCCAGAGGCGCATCAGAAATGATGTATAGGTAGGTATACCATGTTTATTTTAATACACCTCATTAGTTTGGCTAGGAAAAAATAACCGTCTCGCTGTCCCAACTTACAGCAGCCTCGTGCGTGTTATCGACGAAAATGTCATTCAAGAGATTTAATCAAAAAATTTAAAAAAAAAAAAAAAAAAAAAAAAAAGGAAAGAAAAAAGCTAGGCAGAGAATAAAAAGAAAAAGCTTAATCACTTTATGGTGTAAAAAAAAAGAAAAGGAAAAAGAAGTTCCACGTAAGGCCGTCTGGAAGGTCCTAGGCAGAGTCAATCGAGGTGGTGGCTTCCAGGCCCGTAGGCATCTCCTAGCTGTTCAGCTTCCTTGCCTAGAACCAGCGGGCAGCATCCCAGGCAGGCTCCGGGTGTCCTCTTCGAAAAGCACCTGTGCCCACGGGCAGAATCCTGGGCAGTGGCCAACATCGGCCACCACTCAAGGGTCAGTCCTTCAGGACAGCCCTCTTCTGCCACCCACTTCAGTCTTTCTGTTTCTTGTGGTGGGTTTTTTGTTGTTGTTGGGGTTTTTTTTGTTTTGGTTTTTTTTTTTATTTTTTTTTTATTTTTTTTTTTTTGTTATTTTTTGTGGTTTTGTTTTCGCTCTCTGTGACAAGGAAGCTTTCTCACTGTCTCTCCGAGTGCTACAGTACTTGCTTTGATGTCACACTGAACAAACGGACACTGTCTCTTTGTCCTCAGACACAGTTTTTCACGGAGGAGAACAAAGACCGCACGCACATTGGCAATGAAGCACCATACATAGTATGTTCAGGAATGTCACACGCCACGTACATCCGTGTCCCGGGAGAGGGCGGCCGGCTCATCTCACCTCACATCTGTGGGAAGAGAGAATGAGTTGAGGTTATGACCAGACAGAAAACACCAGGGCCACTTGGCCCCACACAACTTATGTCTTAAGATATGAACTTTGATGTGTAATTTAAAAAAATCAAATTTTCACGATTAAGAATTGGGACTAGGCTGGTTGCATTTCACAGAAGAACCCATGCTCCCATTGCACAGATGGAGAAACTGAGGCATAGAAAGTTTCTTTTGCCCTTTTTTCTTATCTTTCTTCCAGCCTAAGGCTTGTGCCACTAGAGGTCTGATAGACATTTTGGGCCATGAAGCAACTCAACTGAGAAAACAGATGCCACCAGCCACAGTGTGTGTGTGTGTGTGTGTGTGTGTGTGTGTGTGTCTGTCTGTCTGTCTGTCTGTCTGTCTGTCTGTCTATCTGGTGGTGCTGGTGAACAAACACTTGCTATCATAGAGCTATACCCCCCAGTTCCATTATGAGCCAACAATGCCTCCATTCCCAGTCTGGAGACAGGTTGCCAGCAGGACACAGGCAGTCATGGGAACACCTGCCTCTCGTTTGGAGAGGGTCTCTGTCAGCAGCAGGCCCATCAGAGCCACATGGAACAACCCCAAGGACCTGCTCGAGGAGACACATGCCCAAAGCAGGCATCTCCAGCCACACTCCTGTGGGAGCCAGGGCTCTCAGACACCCTATCTCTGAGGACTCTCTTGCCCAGAATAACTGTTTGTCTTGGATGCCCCTAAGTTCCATGTGCCAGGAGGAAGGGCTCAGCCAGACAGGCTCCAGTCTTCTGGGCCAGACAAGCTGACACTCAGGACAGGCCTGGGAAATGACATGCCTCACCTACATTCCCTACACTTCCGGGGGGGGGGGGGGTGCACCCGTCACAGGGTGGGTTTGGAACGAGCATTCCTAAGAGGTTCTATGGCCCTTCTTTATCCAACCTGACTCTTCCAGCTTGGAATATGACAGCGCTAGCAACCACCATGGGTCCCAAGAGTCATTTTGAAGACAGACTGTAAAGTGCCAAATAGAAAGGACCACCAATGACACCTGTTGTGGCTTCCCCTCCTGGTCTCACACAGATTGATGTCTACCTCCTTTTCCCAGGCTGCCACTGGTTTCAAAAGTCAACTGCCCCGTCCACTTAAAGCTCTTCAGATCCACACAGCCTCTACAAGCCTCACCTGTCACCTGTAAAAGCCTCAGTCCTTTCACCTGCCAGTGCAGTAGGCCACCTCTTCCCAGGGAACTCCAGCAGAACCATCAGAGCCCTCCACCCTTCCCACCTCGGGGCACTTAGGTGCCTGACCAATGACCAAAGAGAAGGGCAAAGCTGCAGCTGCGAGGAGACCCGGCCCAGCAGCCCCAGAAGCACATAGAGCCTTGAGCCAATCAGGGCCCACGGAAGTTGATTCGTTGACGTGATTGTGTCCCAGCCCTGCGAGGGAGTCCCCCAGCACACCCAGCGGGCAGGGCCTACCTGGTTGGCCGCCTTAGGTGGGTTTTAACCTTTTTCTTTTCCGCTTTTTACCTGATTCCCTACGCCTTCCTGTCAAGGAAAGGGCAGGGAAGGTGAGTGGCCTCCTGAGGGCCTGGGGTGGGAAGCCACGGCAATAAATACTAGAGTTGTTTATCTTTCAAAAAGAAAGCCTGATCCACCCTGGTGCATACACTTCCGGGTCTTTCTCTGCACCTGGACTGCCTGAACGCTGGCAATGTACAGATATGCTGGGCAGGATGAAGGTCAAGACCCTGGGCAGCAGGGCACTGTCTGAGTCCAGTGTCTATTGTCCCACCTAGATGTGGCACTCCGAAGGCACAGCTTACCTGACTCTAGCTCTGCAAGCCAGGGTGGACGGCTGAGAAATCTAGGCCTGCTGCCTTGCACAGAGGAAGCAACTCTCCCATCACTCTGTGATTGACTTGGCTAGAGCCCACATCCCTCAGGACCCACACATAACAAACGAGCAGTGCCGGCCACTCACCAGTCTCCTCCTCCCGATGGTCTGGGTTCAGGTTGGAGGTCGCACATGCACACTCCAGGTGTTCCTCTAACCTCACCTGGACCTCTTTCAATTTTGGCTTCTTCCTGACATACTCCACTTTGGCCACCTGCCAAGGGAAAAAAGCCAGTGTCAACACCATGTGCCTGAGGGGGACCTGCCAGGCTCACCCCAAACTGGGACTCAGATTTCTAACCTCCCCAAGGCATCTTCCCTTTAGTTCAGGCTTGTTTCCATTCGAAATAAACCCCAATGATGCTAGGCCTACAGCTGCCATCCCAGCACTCAGTTCAAGGCCAGCCTGGGATACACAGCAGGGGATATGGCTCAGTTAGCAGAGTGCTTGCCTAGCATCCACAAAGCCCTGAGTTCCACCCCCCAGCACCACATGAACTGAATGAATGTGACAGCAGGAGCCTGTAATCCCAGGACTCAGGACACAGAGGCAGGAGGATCAGGAATTTAAGGTCATCTTTGGCAACAGAGTGCTGAGGCCAGCTTGGACTAAAGAGACTCCTAAGCGCCCAAAATGAAGGACATCAGCAAAGAAAAGATGAACTGGGCACAGGGTGGCAGAGCACAGGACTGCTCTGGTGTGTGTGCTGTCAGTAAAGAAAATGGAACCTCAGACAGGGACGGCCACCTTGCAGCTACAAAACTTGCAGAGGGAGGGACCTCGCTCAGAGAGTCATTTCCCACTCAATCCAGAGTCCCTGGAGACACACCAACACAACAGGTACCAAAAGTTCATATTAGACTCTAGAATCCCAGGCAAATCCTTCCATGGTCCTGGCCAGATGCTGACCACTACAGCCTGTCATTCTCAGGGCAGCACTGTCATGAATGCTCCACCCACACACAGATACAGATGTGAGTGGTGTACACAGCTCCCAACACAGGAATGCAACTCCATACTCCCTCACCATGCTCATAGAGCAGTTGTTTAACGCCCCCCCCCCACACACACACACATATACACGCCATCAAGAGCTGCACCAGGAGGCAGCTTTGGGCCACATACCCTGCTCTATTCCAGCATGAGGTTGCGTTAGGGAATGCTCCAGGCCACCTCCCTCAGAGTCCAGACACCCTCAGAGTCCAGCATTCATTTAACCCGCCTGGCCAGCCAGTGAGGAGGCAGGATTGTCACCTCCATGGATAGAAAAGAAAACTCAGGCACAGTAAGCTCTCTCCTGAGGTGACCCGGGGAGCATAATTGGCGGTTTGTCCCAACCTTGATGGCACCTGGGACATGTGCCACTTCCCAACCCTGTATACAATCAGTGACAAATCTGTGTCCACCTCCCAGAACAGCCCTAAGGGAGTTCTACCTCCCATCTCACCATACACTGGGGAAACTGAGGCTATAACAGGGCTGAACCCACCCTGGGCAGCCTACAGCTCTTAGAGGTGGCAGCTTCTTGGGCGTTCAATGGTGGGGACAAAGCCTGGCCCACCCAGAGTGACTGAGAGAATTTGGGTAGGGGAACATTTTCCATTGCTCTCCTAAGGGTATTGAAGCCCAGGAGCCAAGAGGACTGGATGCAGGGGTCAGCCCTGCATCCAGGCCAAGGAACTGCTCAGAGCTCTGGGGACCAGACTCTGCTGTGGCTACCACCTTGGCTACATTAATGGTTAACATGGGTGCAAAGGGTGCCAGGTGCCCGGCGGGCGTGTGAAGTAGTGTGGGTGCCTCAGGTGTGAACACAGTCTGCCAAGTATGAGCTCAGCATGTAGGGCGTGGGGCCAGGGGTCAGGGGTCAAGGGCCAGCCCAGGAGGTTTCGCTACGTCAAGAGGTGGGAGGGACGACTAGGGACAGTGAGGGCAGGGGCATCTGAGATGTAGTTGAGCCATGCTGTCCAGATACCTACAATCTGACCGATGAAATGTGGGCAGTAGTCACAACCACCCAGGTAGCTCTCCAAAGAGCAAGGTCACCTCTGTAGAGGCACTCAAAAGTCAGGTGGGTATGGTGGGGCAGGCCTGGAATCCCAGCACTCAGTAGGCTGAGGCAGGAGGATTGCTGCAAGTTCAAGTCCAGCCTGAGCTACATACTGAGTTCCAGGCAAGTCTGGCTACAGAGCAAGACAATGTATCCAAAGAAACAAAAACCAACAACAAGCAACAAACAAATAAAAGACACAACATTAAAGAATCACCTAGACATGGGACAGGGCCACCTTACAGGAGCTAGCTTCAACAGAAATCAATATTCATACAAAGCTTCTTACTAAAATGAGCCCCCAAGTTGTGTTCAGGAAGTCAGCATGTCCCCAGAGGCACTGCAACCCCCGGGTCCTAAGCTCAGAAATGTGGTCTCACACGCTACCCCAGAGAACTGAAGGACAACGCTTGTCCCTCCCCTGAAGGGCCCTGGGGTGGGTTGGGGAGGAGCAAGTTCTCCCAAAGGAAAAACATCAGCCAGTCCCCAGAGGAGCTATAGGAGGTGTCACTGTAATATACCCCTGCCACAGTCCCCAACCTCCAGAGATGTCTACAGTCCTTGATGATCCAGCAAACTTCAAGTGTGCCCAGCTAAACCCAGGCCTGAGAGAGACCCTGGCCACAGACACCACCAGGTGGGTGCTCTGCCCTTCCTACCACCACTTCTGTGATGGGGAACAGATAGGCCTGAACCCAGGTGTCAGAGGGGCTTTGGCCTGGTCTTAGCTATAGTCCTCCAGCCTGACTAGACCCTTAGCTTTTCCCCATGGGGCTGAGTATCAGCCAGACCAGACCCTGGCTGCAGGGCAGGTACAACCTTCCCCTCTGAGCCTAGGGATCCTCTGCATGAGGGGCAACTGATGAGCCGCTCCAGCTGGGGAGCCCCCTTTCTCCCAGACAGGCCCATGTTTACCAGACAAAAACAAACAGTGGTTTATGGGAGCACCTGTGCTGGGAATGCAAAGATTCCAGCCGCTCTGCCACCTCTGTCTGGCCAGGAAATGGCTACATGCCTCCCCCCCCACCCAAAGAACATGTTATGAATACTAAATTTTCAAAACTGCCTCCTTGAAAGTATAAAGGGAGATGGTAAAGTCCCAGGAGCCTCACACAATCCACAGCTCCCTCAAGTTCAACACAGAGTGTCACCTGGCCAGGCTACTGTCTGAGCATTGTTCCCCCTGGGGGGCTTGTTCTGACTGCTCTCAAGCCTCAGGACAGTGTCATCTATGAGAAAAGCCACTGTTGATTTTGAGCTGATCCTGGAGCACAGTCCGTCCTGCAGGTCAACTGCACAGACTCTATGACAGCCTGTTTTAATAGAGGAGAAACTGAGCACAGCCAAGCGGACTACTTGCCTAGGTCCCTCCACACTCGTTTCTGCTTTCTAATAGCCTGGACTTAAAAGGAGTCAGGTCCTGAGGCCACACAGCCCCAGAGACCAGGGGCCTTCCCAGGCCAATCCTCTAACTTGACCAAGAGGGTGTTATGCTCTGGCCCCCCAAGTATCCCACGGACATCCACTGGGGAGGGAAGCTGGTGCCATGCCTCAAAGGCAAGGGGAAAGACCCCTGTCCCACCGGGCTGAGGGCCCCACACACAGCAGTTGAAAGGAAGAGACTCACAGCTTGGGTGTCAAGTACACCTGGGGTGTCTTCTGCCATGCTGTCCCAGCTACTTCAGACCCCAAGCTCCTCACCAGACAGAGCCCAGCTGGGACCCTCCCTAGAACACAACTCCAAACCTTACCCAAGTTGGGGTACCTTCCTTCTAGAAGCCCGGAGTCTGACCCAGGAGAGCCCTGAGCATGAGAATGAACCTCCCTACACAGCTCAGCAGCCAGGGCAAACAACAGTTCAGAGCTGACCTGGCCCTTTGGCAGTTACAACCCCTAACCTCTTGGCAACCTCACCCCTGACCCCTTGGCAGCCCCATATAATGTAGACAGGAGAGGCCTCCCCTCTGTCCAGGTCAAACACCTCAGGGAGCTCCATGAGCCTGGCCTATGCTCACCATGCAGACCCACAGAGCATCCTTCTTCAGCCTCCACAGCAAGGTCTGGAGAACACAGCTAGCACATGGGGTCAGGCTGAGCACAACAGGCAGGGCCCAGGAGGCCAAAGAGGTGAGGTACCAGGCTGCTCAGATGTCATCCCAGCCAGCACTTAGGAGGCTACAGTAGGAGTTCAAGGCCTGCCTAGGCTACAGAGTAAGTTCAAAGCCAGCCTGAGTAACTTAACTTAGACCTGTCTTACAACAAAAACTAGAGAGTTGGGGGCTTGGCTTAGTGGTACCTTCCTAGAATTCCCCAGTGAGGGGCTGGGGTGTAGCTCAGTGGTAAATGTTCACCTATAATGAGAAGTCCTGGGTTTAATCCATAGCACCACAAGGAAGTGAAAACACACACAGACACACACTGGAACCAGGGTTGGTGGCACGTATCATATGGAGTAGATATGGCTACTGTGAACCTCATCATCAGCCCCACCCCTGCTGACCCTAAGTCTGGGACTTTTGAGCCCATCTCCCTCCATCCAGGTCAACACCAGCCTCCACTCCAAATGCTGCAGAACTGGCAGCCACAGTGGAGCTCCTGTTCCGCTGACCTTCTGTCCCTTCTGCCAGAGCCTACAGTATCTGGGGCTGGATGTCCCCTCCCAGCCCTAGATGGGTGGCAGTGGTGGTACATGTGGGTAGGTGCTTAGGAGGGAGTAAAGGAGACTAGACTGGTCCCTTTCAAATGGCCAGGACCTTACTGGGCAAATGAGCCCCAGGGGGTAAAGGCACAATCCCCACAGAGCACAGAGAAGGAGTCACCAATCCCAGTGGGCAGCAGTGTCAGTGGAAATGGACAGTCCTTGTCCCAGGGGCCAGAGCTTCTGAAAACCTCCAAGTCAAAACCCACACACACATCGTCACACTACTCACCCTTCAAGCATGTCTCCAGCATGGAAAAACTATCCCTAAACTCACATTGTCATAGTTCACTCTTGTAATCCCACCAGTCAGGAGGTTGAGGAGGTTTAACACCAGCCTGGGCTACACAGTTCTAAGCCAGCCTAGACTACACAAGTCCATCAGGACAGACAGGCAGGCAAGGAATGAAGCCAGACCTACCCTGGATCAAACCTATCACCTGTACCCAAAAGAACAAGATGACAGCTTTTCAGACTCCTCAATACACCATCAGTGGGGACCCTGAGGCCCAAGGAAAGGCTGAGCCTGGTCCAGGTCACATGGGCTACCAGGGTGCTTGAGTCAACCATGGTAGCATGGCACTGCTGGTAGCCAGCATCCTGTCCAACCTCTGAGGGTGGCTAGCAAACCCAGACAGCACCCCAGACAAGTCCATGGGACCCAGGGAAGAGTTCAGGGCTTTTGATGGGGTGTCTGGTCCTGAAGATGCCTGCAATGATATGTGGGGTTTACTCAGCCTAGCCCTGAAACTCTAAAGAAACCAAATAACAGCCAATAAAGTCAGTCTCAACTACAGGTGCCCAAGTTGTGGGTCACAAATAAGCTAATGAACACAGGTCCTTACCAAGAAAGATGCTCTCCTGGCATCTCCCTACCACTGGGGCCAAGGGTCACGGCAGGGTTGGGGGTTGAGATGGATTTACTAGGGTGGAAGAATGGGATCTGAAATCCTCATGCATAATTCTGGGGACCCTTCACCCAAGAAAAGTAGCCTAGCTATAGAAGCCTGACTGTGTCAGAAGCAGATGTTATCCTCAGAGGCACTCTAGTCCTTCAGCTGTCTAGAGTCTTTTGTGACGCCTCAGCCACCCAAATGGTCACACGTTCAGCAAAAGGGCCTTAACCAGGCAGAGTCAGTTTTCAGACTACAGAGAAGCCTAATGGTGGCGGGTGTCTGCCACAACATGAGGAACTGTATTAAAAGGTCATGGCATTAGATGAAGGTTGAGAACCACTGTCCTAGAGTGTCTGACTGATGGAACACAAAGGGCTCCAGCCTTGGCAACACAGACAACCAGCCTTCAACCATGTTCTCAGACTCATGCCAGAAGAGAGACCAAACCCCTATGTCTTGAAACCTTCCCTCATCCTGTGAGGAGGCCAACAACTGAGCCCCAGGAGGACAGAGGGACATGCAAGTTGAGAGGAGAACAGACCCAAGTTCCATCATCATCTATAAAGATAATGACCACACATGCAAACCATGGGCCCCCAAATACCTGTCATGATGACATGTGGCTATTTCCTCTGAATTAAAACATTCCCTCCTAGGGGGAGCTAGTAAGACCCAGGAAGCTAATGAAACAAGCTCAGAAAGTTAAGAGTCACAAGAACCCCTCCACACACCATATGAGCAGTAATGATTGCTGGGGATTGGAGACTCTACAGGAGAAAGCTCTAGGGATGTGGACATCTCCAGTCATCACCAATGCCAGGGCGGGCTTTCCTGTGCTACAGTCACCCACACTTCTGTAAGGAGTCAAAATAGCCTCCTTGGCTCAGAAAGCTGGACTTGGGTAGACTATCTTCTTTGGTCGGCCATTAGTGCTCAACCCAGATGCTGCCCTATCTAGGATAAAGAGACATTCGTTCACAACTCCTCAATGACAGAAGCACACTGTGACCACTGAATGTCCCAGTCACTCCTGAAAACCACTGAAGCCAGCTCTCTGGCTTGTACAGAGCTGTGTGCTAACAACCTTAAGTCATATGCCCCACCCCCCTCAAACTATCCCACCAGCCCAAGAGCATCTTGCAAGGCTGAAGACCAGAAAGAGCAGGGAGGGCTTACCTTGACACTGCGGTGGTGAACCCTTGAGGGCTGGCACTTGACGCTGCTGGTATTGCAGCAGCCGGTGCAGCGCTTCACCTCCACACATGGAGGCCAAATCAGGAAGTTGGCCGATGTGGGGTCAACCTGGCTCCGAGGTATCTCGTAAATGACCGTCCTGGTCTTGCAAACTGCAGGAATGGCTTCCTCTACAAAAGCAAGAGTACTATGAATGAGGGGACCCAGAAATCTACCAGTAGCACACAAACATGATCTCTGCTCTCCCCACCCAACCCAGAGATGCCCACCTAGGCTGGTCCTGGGCAGGATGCATCCCTGTGGCAGCCTCCAGTATGAAAGAACATGCTGGTTGCCAATAGGCTCCTGAATGTACAAGGCTGAAACTCTTATCAAAACTACAGACATAGTTCAAGGCCAACCTGGGCAACTTAAGGAGGTCTTGTCTCAAAAGTGAAGAGGGCTAAGAAAATGGCTCAGTGGCATAACATTTGCCTAGAACCACCCACCCCCCATCACCACCACTGTAAGGGGCTGGGGTGTGGATCAAAGGTAGAGCATCTGCCTAGAATCCCCCAGTGAGGGGTTGGGATGTGATTCAGTGGTAGAACACCTGCCTAGAATCTCCCAGTGAGGGGCTGGGGTGTGGCTCAGTGGTAGAGCACTTACCTAGCATACACAAGGCCTTGGTTCTTTCCCTGTTACCCTTCTATTTGCTTTTGCAGACCAAGAAGTGAAACAGCAGAAGAGCAGCTCAACCCCAGTCCCCACATAGGCCAGAGCTGGGGACATGGTCATGAAAACCAGCAAAACTACACTTATTTGTCTCCCAAGGAGGAGGCAGCTATTTCCTGCCCTGCTCTAATCACATAGGTGAACACAGCCAGTCTGGGGCCATCTGCTTGCCAGGTGTGCACAGTAGACAAGAAATCCCCTCAGGACCCTGGGACACACACCCTTCTCTTCCTCAAGCAATCCTCATTAACCTATTGAACTCTAGCCCCCATTAGTCACTATATAATAGCTGCCTGGTAGTGTCCAGCTCTAGGACTAGCTAATGTGGGAAGGCGCAGCTGAGGTACCAGGAAGCCTCTGGGGCCTACCTACTGACTCTCCCTGCTGCCCTATCAACACCGAAGGGTTCCTCAACCCTAGATTCGGAGCTGGGGCCATATTCTTCAGGGTAGAAGAGACTCAGGCCAGCTAACCAACAGGAATGAACCATACCTACAAAACACAAGGGATATGCATACCCACAGAGGCTAACACACCCAGGAGGAGCTACACAGGTGTCTACAGACTCCCTGGAGGGGGGGGGGGAGTGTGAAAGGAAAGCATGAATGAACAAAGATGGGGACCAGATTTCTCCTTGACCTAGCGGGGTGGGGGTGGGAGGTGTCCTGCATTGTCTTTCTGGATTATGAGTCCCAAGGCCCCAAACACTGAGCCAGGCACACTGGGCAACTGGGCTTGGCCCCTTTACATCTCTCAGCACAGATCTTGTATTCTTCTAAGTGAATCCCATGCATAGGCCTTTAGCCCCCTATGTAGCTTGCAGACAGTTTCCTGGCCCCTACCCCAGCTCAGCTGGGAGTAGAGATTCTATTCTCATCTCTGCTAGCCAATGAGGCACTGGGAAAATCCACCTTCTTACTGATAACTAAATCTCAGAGAGAGATCCACTTGCCCAGGGTCAGTCACATAGCAGCCAAACAGTTTGTAGACAGCACCCTTAGCTGAGCTGGGACTGGGTGGGTCACACTTGCAACACCACCCCAGGAGCAGAATGCATTGGTCTTGAGAGAATCTAGTTTTTCCCAGAACAAGGGCCAGATGGAACCCTAGAGACAATGGTGAATGAGGAGGGGGCACTGGAAGAGGTGTCCAGCATATCCAGGCTGCACCCAGCTCTGCAGCTGAAGCCCAGGAGCATGCTAGAGCTCTATCAGGAACTGGAAATTAAGCTTGGCTACGTTTTCCAACGAAGCCTCCTTGTAGACAGGCCCTGACAAGACCGGGCACTTAAGGAATTTATAATGTTCCCCTCCTGGAAACTCTTGGCCCAGGCACAAGACTGCAGAAGGGCAGGCAGGAGACACTCTACAGAGGAGAAAGAGGACGGCCTCCTCCATGGGGAAGGCAGGAGTCCAGCAAAGCCTTTGTTTGGTGGAGGGATAGGTGGCTATGCCTGAAGCCTCTGAATTAGCAGGAAGCATTCATAGCTCCAGCAGTGACCTGTCCCCTTCCAGCTGCTGGACACTCTCACATGCTCACCAATACTTCTCTTCCTGCGAATAGGCACAGGCCGCTTCTCGGGCACATGCTTAATGGCGTGGGACCTGTGGGCTCTCAGGCTTGTCTCCAAGGCATCCTCAGTCCCTACAAGTGGAGAGAAGAATATGGTAACCAGTGCCCACACCTATGTGCCATACCTTTGAGACCTGAACAGCTGAGGCTTACACAGCAGCCTGCAGAGCAAAAGGACAAGGCGCAGTGGCTCAGTCTCCAACCCCAGACCCTCTGATCCTATATGGTTTCCAGTGTGCATCTCCACTAGAACTCCCTATCTTGTCAATATGCATGTCTCAAAAATGCAGCTCTCCTGTGAAAATCAGAGGTCCTTCCAGGAAGGCATTCAGGTACTCTCCCTTACCATGTGACCTCTGAAGGGAACCCTTGGAGGGCAGCACCGGGTCAGGCAGGTCCCAAGGCCACCCAGCTGGGCCCAGGTCTGTAGCACTACCCCTATCAGCTGAAGCAAAGATGGGAAGGGCGGAGGCCTCTCTCCTGCTGTTGTGAGCACAGGGCCTCCCTCTTGTAAAGCAGGCTTTGATGAAGTGTCCTAACCTCTGAGGGGCATCGGAAGCAAACGCCAGACTGGGCTGCAAGCCAACCTCCACTGTTCCTGAAATAAGCCTGCTCTGAGGGCCAGAGGCCATGAGAAACAGCAAAGGGGTGCGGCTGCTAGGAGAGTAAGAAGTGAGGCGTGCAGTCACAGGCCTGGGGCTAGAGTCCTGGGGGCCCAGTGAATAAGGCCTACAGAAGGGAGTGGAGGAAAAGCCAGAGCTTGAAGGAGTGTTCACACATTGAGGGCCAGCAGGTGTCCAGCAAAGACAAGGCTACCCTGACCCACAGAATGGAGAACAGAGTTAAGATTAGCCCAGAGAACCCGCCCCTGAAACACACTGCCCCCAAATTTTTTGATTCCTGGGGACGGGAGGACATAGAGCTCCATTACATGCTGTGTAGACAGATCAGCCCCCAATATAATCTATACCTGGATTTCCCATTCTATACTATTCGGACTCCATGCAAAGCTCCCCCCCTCCTTCTTCCCAGGGGACATTCATATCTCCACTGGGTCCCAATATTTAGTGACATTCAGCCCAAGTGGAGAGCCCTCCTAGCAGGGGATACAAACCCCACCAGGTACCACACCATCCACAAACCAACAAGAGACATGCCAGCCTCTTCCACCCTGAGATGTCTACTACCCACACGTTTAAGATGAAAAGCAAAGACTCGCCTAAGGTGTGAATGTCAACGATGAATCCTAGCCCAAAAACTATATAAAATGACTCAATGTTCCAATGGCATGGATTTTTTTTTTTAAAGACCCAAAATAAGATCAGAACTGCTCATGCAGTAAAAATTTCCCATCAACCAACTGTTACAGAGAAGCATCTCTTCACCAAAAAAGTGACATGATGAGTCATGACCTAGTGATGACCATCCTGCCATGGCCAAACTAACAAGAGATGAATGGGCCATCCACTCACAGGGTCTGGGAGAGTGGGCAACAATGCCAAGTGTGGTCCTTGAGTGCCTTGTGCTTGCCTCAACATGCACACAGTAGGTGTCACTGACTTGGCATAGGCTAGGGCACTAGAATACAGAGATACTGAACAAGACAAGGACAAGTCAGATATGCATGTGGTGAATGAACCCCCTCCCTCAGGAGGTAGAGGAAGGAGGAACAAGAGTTCAAGGCCATCTCCAGATACAAAGTAAATGCAAAGCCAGACTGGGATACACAAGATCCAGTCTCATAAAAATAAAAATAAATAAAAATTTAAAAATCCAAACAAAAACACTGAAGAATGCAGGGACCCTCCAGGCCCAGTGCACAGTAGGCTCAATTCCCTAACACAAGTTCTCCTGACTGAACTTAATGCAGACAGAAACTCGGCCACAGAGCCTAGCCACAGCTCCTACTCAAGACAAGCCCAGATCAAGATAGTTGCCAGAGGTGGTGGCATTAACAGGAGAATCTGAAGTTCAAGGCCACCCTTCTCAGAAAACAAAAACCAAACAAAACAGCTGGAGATGTAGCTCAGCTGGAAGAGGGTCCAGAACACATAAGGCCCTGGTTCCACCCCCAGCACTACATTAAATAAACGGAAGTGGAGGCAGGAGAACACCCTTAGCAAAGTGAGGGAGTTCAAGGGCAGCCTAGGCTATGTGAGACCTATGTTAAAAAAGAAAACAACAGGTGGTCACAAGCTAATGGTTGATCCACTACTGTGACATCTTTGATGTGTGGCAAGTGAGTTCTTTGGGAGCTCGTGGATGTTATCCTGTGTGACACAGCAGAGCCTATCATGAATTAGTGGCTAAGCCCCTATCAGGTCAACCAAGTCATCTGCCTTTGTCCTATGCAGATGTCTCAGTGACAAATATCTGATGACTGCTGGAGGAAGGACAGACAGAGTCCACTAGCCCTGTTCTGGCTACAGTGTTATGAGTAGCCTGGGATGGGATGTTTATGTATCAGTTACTCAATGACCCATGGGCGCCTGGCCAGCGGCTCTAGAGAACAAAGCTCCCGACACACACACACACACACACACACACACACACACACACACAGAGCCAACCTGAACTTCTGAGCTGTAGTTCACAGCAAGGCTGGATGCCAGTCTCTGGACCCAAAAGCCACTTAGAGCTCCTTGACTCCACCATGGAATGCTCTGGGCTCAGGGACATTCTTGGCAATGTATTGGAATCCTGCCACCTCTGGAGCTGGGCCACACAGCTAAGGAGCTGCAAGGTTGGGAGGAGATGCCTTCAGGGTTTCCCCATCTGGAAAATGGGGATGCCGCCAGCCATGTGCCAATCACAAAGCTCCACCCTCTTGGATGAGGAGTTGGCTGGGGAGCCTGGGACACCCCTAAGCCTTTCTCTGCTTCCTGCAACCTAGATAGAGGGACATCAAGAATCCACCTGGAGAGGCCACCCTTAGGAACAACCCAGTGATGATTCCTTCCAGCTAACTCTAAAAGTGACTGACCACCACAGCTGCCTGCAGCCTTCTGTAGCAGCCTGAGCCACAGAGCTCCTGAATGGGAATGAGGAGAGCCAACCAGCCACTCATGTCCAAAGACCAAAGACTAGACTCCAGTTAGTTTCTACACCAGAACAGGGGGATAGACAGCCCAGCAGCGAGACCCCATTTTGGGTTAATGTCACAAAGGGTCTTCCTTCCACTAGCAAGCTAGGAGGGTGGCAGAAGCCCACACACACACTTGGTTCTCATAAAGTTTCCCATGGAGACCCCCCAAGTGTCTGACAGGTGGACTGAGGAGGGTGGATGTCCTAAACCCCCTGGGATACAGACAGACAGACAGACACAGACACAGACACAGACACAGACACACACACACACACACACACACACACACACACACACACACACACACACACACACACACACACCATATTACAGAAGCAATTTGAAACCTCCAGGGACTGCTTTTTCTTTTTGGACCCTCCTGAGGAGAAGGCCCCAACCCAGAAGCCTCCAGTCCCCCACTGGGCACATCAGCTTAACCTAACAGAACTACAGTGCTAAAAGCATTAATGGTGGGGGGTGGGGGAGGCGTGGCTGCAAAGAACAGCATAAGAATGGTCCCAGCAGAAAAGTGAATGGCCCATTTCCCCCAGTATCCACACAGCAGGAGGCCCAGCCATGGCTTAAGCAGGGCAGGAGAGCAGTCCACCGGTCTCCAAAGCCTTTGGGGACCAGCAAAAACTCCAAGAGTATTTCCCCAGTGACCCAAGCCAAGTCCTCCACATCAAGGGATCAGATCAAAACCCCCTGTCCCACTCTTGAGCTCCAAGTGAAACCCTAGGCCTGCCACTCCTGATAAGGATCAGGCCAAGGATTTCCTGGGTCAAGAAACTACTGAAACGGGGCCACCTTGTTAAAAAATGATTTTGGCATGCAACAAAAACAGTTCAGGCCTCTCCATCACCATAATTAGGTACAAATTTCCAAATGGTTAGACCATGTGATTTTACTTAATTCTCTCACCACTCCCCCCTTTTCTGAAAAGTTTACGAGGGGGAAATCGTCACTTAGACTTCTTCACTTTAGCAACCTTTAGTTCCTCCTGACAAACTCATCGGGGCCTCCTTTTTTTTAAAAAAAAAAAAAAAAGCTGGTAAATTTTATCCTAGTGCTTCAAAAAGAATACCCAGGCCAAGCGTTCATTCTGAAAAGGTTGTCACAAAAGACAGAGGAGACCTTGTCCTCCAACACACAGTGTGCCTCTCCCACCCCCATCCAAGACCCTTTATTTTAGCTCTTGTGGATCCCAGTCTAATCCAATCCTACATTTACAATTTGTTTTCTGCAGTGGCTTGGCTCTAGCCCGAGGCGGGAAGCCCCCAAAATAGCCCCAAGCGCATGTGTCCCAGGCGCCTTTTTAACAGGATGATGTTGAGAAAAACACCGGCCTCCTGTGGCCACCACAGGGACCCAGCCCGGGGCAATCAAGGCACCAGTGAGAGTTTACAAAAGGCCGGGACCAGCCAGCTCAAGCGCTATGGGGGCCCTCGCCAGGCGGGAGACCTGCTAGAGCCGCGCGCCCTGCGGGCCAGCTCCCGCGCTCCAGGGCCAGAGGCGGCGGTTGACCCGCACACCTGGCAGGGTCTTTTCGGCACACTCTAAAGCTGAACTTTCAGGGACACACCCGCTGCGTTTCCCTTAAATGCAAAAACAACCCCCGGGCGAGCGAAGCAGTCCTCCGCTGCCGCTGGTAGAGAAAGTGGCGACTGCAGGAGAAACGCCTGACTCATACGCCTGGGCGTTTATGGCCGGCGAGTGGAGTCTGACCTTTCGGTGCGCTCCTGCGCAGCACCCGGCCCGGTCGAGCGCTGGGTACGGTTCCTCTCGCAGGCTGCCCGCCCCGCCGCCCGCGCCCTTCCCGCAGCCAGGGACAGGGGCGCGATTTACCTACGGAGTCTATCTCCAAGAGTCGCTGGAGGTCCCGGATGCTGTGGATCTGACTTCGAGCCAGCCGCTCGATCAGCTCTCGGGGTATCTCGGCTTCCTGCAAGCAGACCACACAGTCAGGACGCGCCCAGGGGTTCCAGCCCGGGCTCAGGGGCCACGCAGCCCCGCCCGACCCCCGCCAAGCACTAGAACCAGAGGCTCCGGGGGGGCCAGAAGGGGACCCCCCCCCCAAGTCCTCCACCCTATTCCTGTCTGTCTGACCTTGGTTAAAAAAAAAAAAAAAAAAACACCCCAACACCGCCTTGACATGTTCAGACAAAAAGCACCCGCGCTCTGGCCCTCCCCAGGGTGTCTGGGGGCAGCCAGGGGCCCTAGGAGTTTCTGGTTTAATAGCTAAATCCACACGAAGAGAGGGTCGAAATGCGTCATGGATCCACGTCTGGAGTCACAGCAGCCCTAACACTTTAATCTGGCCTGAGGGTTCAATTTCACTCCCGGGAATCATGGGCCGAGCCCGCAGGGGAGAGGGGCTTCGAGCACCCCCCACACGCACGCGCGCGCGGTCGCCCCACCCGGCTCTGGCCCAGGCACGGCCCTAGCGCCGACTAGGACACCCAAATCCAGCGGGGTTTAGAGAGGCTTCAGGGAACTCAAGGGGTTAAATATCCCCCTCGCGCTCCTCCGGTCTCTGCCCAGACCCCCCCCACCGTTCAGCCTCCCCCACTCTCCCTCCCAGTTTTTTAAAGGGAGTCAGGGTCGCTGGGGGACTCAACCACGAAGTTCCCACGACAGGGGCTGTGGAAAGTCATTCATCACGGCAAAGCTCCCGGGATCTGGGGGGGTGGGGGGTGGTAGCGGTGGGAGGGGGCGGGCGCCTGGCCCGGCCCCATCTGCCTCTCTCAGCCACCTGTAAGCAGGCCCTGGGCGGGCGGAGACTGCTCCAGCCTCGCGTCCGACTGGGCTTGGGGACGGGAACTGGGGACTGCGGCTGGGCGCTGCCCACCCTGTCCAGTCCTGGGCTTCGGCCGCACCCTCCTCTACCTGCTTACTGCCCGCCCTAGTCCCCTCCCAGGGCACGGTCAGTTCACACACACCCCCTTTCCCGCTGCCCGCACCCCGTTACTGCATTGTCCGCTGCGTTTGGACTGCCCCTTCTGGAAAGGCACCCATAGCCCCCCGAAGTTTCTGCCCACTGGTTCACCTCGCGGCTCCCCCGTCCCTCTCCAAGGCGGAGCGACGCAACGCGCTGGAAACTCACCAGACACACTTGGGCATGGCAGAAAATAGAACCCAGTTGGGAATTTTTTTTTAAAATTACACCACCCTGGTAAAAAATCAAAATGCTCTTTGCAGGGCTTGAAACAGGTAGCCGAGGGGGGTGTGCGCAGAGGGAGCCAAGAAGGGACGGAGGCGCGGGGGTGGCACCCACCTCGGCCAGGGCATGGGCGAGGG